GGCTTCCTCAACCTGATAGCGGTCACTTCTGCTGTTGCTAGTAGGCGCTGACCCAAGAATTTGGGGTATTTCCGTGGTACCTTATAAAACACCCGGAAGGCTTCCTTGGGGTAAACAAGATATCCCGAACCAACAATGTGGACGAGAATAGCGCTGCTTATGCCCCTGACTTCTCCCTTTAATACTATCCATTGAGAGGTCGCCGGTGGAGCTCGAGGTTGAACCTCGAAGCACAACGAGATTACTGTGTCCCCTAATGTGATCGATATGCGCCCCCCTATTATTACGAGGTTAGTCAAAGCTTGCCCCATCTCATTTACACGGAATGGAAAATCAAGTTTATTTGTACAAAGGACAGAAGAGTTACGAAAGGCAGTTCAAAAGGAGAAGATGCAATCGCTGGAACAGGAACTTTATTGTCCTAGCGTTTCGGATTCGCATTCGAACCCATCATCGAAGACAATTTCAGAAAAGGGTAATAGGGGCACACGATGCCTGGACAAAAGTACTAGCCACGCAGAGGTTGTGGGTGACTAGCAGCCGCGGTGACAGAAAAATAAACGGCCGAGTAATCGTCACGCCAATAGTCCACATCGGGGGTGAAGTCACAGCAATCAACATGTCAACAAGTCAAGCCATCATCGAATCAACTACGACCCCCAACGCTCTGAACATGAGGACTGCCAAATATAGTAGGCGTGCTGAGCCCTGGCAGCGGAGCATCTTGTGCCTTCTTTCACTCTCTTCTGCGATTCTTTCTCTCGCTCCCTCTCTGTTCTGCCGCGAATCCGAAATGTCAGGCCGATTAACTTCGCGTTCCGACAGTTGCATCTTCTTCTGAATCAAGTCTGTATTTGGCAAGTGTTGTTTTGGTGAACCATTCTCGTTTAGCTCAATCCTCTCTCTACTCGAAACACGCCTGGTATAACGCAGGTGTCATCTGTTTTTTTCATCAGTATGGATTTATATGGACTTCCAAAGATTCATAAAACCGTTATTCCACTGCGACCGATAGTTTCCTTAATCGGTGCACCTAACTACAAAATCTTCAAGTGGCTGTTTCGTTAATTAAACCCACTTACAAAGAACTCTGAGTACTCTATTGCAATTAAAAAGGGTTTCTAGACAAACTAAAAGGAATCAGAGTCTAAACTGACGAAATCATGGTTTCATTCGATGTGGTCTCGGTCTTCACCTCAATCCCTCTGGATTTAGCGAGATGCTGCACCGAAGAACTACTGAGGCCACCACGGATGTACT